ATTGTATTCATATAGGATCAAGGAGTGTAGCTATAAAAAAAATCATCAAAATCAGAGCTAAAATAACCATTAAATCGTGATTTTTTGTTTATAACCATCGAAAAGTTTCGTCCCGTTACTTGATCTCTAAATGTTTGTTTTTTGCAATTTTTGGCGTATGCGATCTCGATGTATATGCAATGTGACATCCCGTCCCGGAATTATCGGAAACGTACGTGTGAAAATACCGTTTTGCCCCTAGTTTGTTTTCGATATGTAATTTGGTTGTTTTTGTGTTGTGTTGGCATGTCTTTAGGCCACACACACACTCCCATACCTGCACCACCTTCTGTCACTCTCTCTCTCTCTCTCTCTCTCTCCCGTGCCTCTCTCTCCCTTCCTATCACCATAAACGTACGGACAAACACCAAACTCACCCAAACCAGCACAGATCGAGGGAACCAACTACACCATCGAACTCGTGAGGCTGAGAGAAGTTCAGTGGTACCATTTTCAGGTAGGAACTCCGACGTTTTCACGTCGATTTCACGAGCTCAGTTTTGGTTACTATTCATGCAAATTTAATCTAGCTTGTTTTTGGACTTTTTAGGCTCGTAGATGTCTTTGTGAGGTCCCAAGAAGCTTAGGAGTGCTTCGTTGGACAAATTTGGACGTCGGGATCGTCCTGTACGAAGTTGGCCGATTTTTTATTTCGTGGACAGGTATGATCGCGTAGTTTTTAGCCCTTAAAACTAGTCTATCGTGATTCTCCTAGGTCTAAGCGTCATTTTGGTTCAAGAATCTTGAAATTTGGATGAAAAACGACGGAGAATAGTGGGTTTAAACTTTCCCAGTTTTTCCGGTGGTCGGAGTCCGGCGAGGGTTGATCGGAGAAGAAGGGAGAATATTCCGTTAAGGTTTAACGTAATATTCCTAACGGCAGTGACGGCGTCAGTTAGGTTTAACCAAATATTCCGTTGGGTTAATGGAATATTCCTGACGGCGTCACTTGACGCCGTCAGTGTGCATGGCACGTGGCCGCGCGTGGGGGCGCGTGGGTCCGTACCTGTTTTGGCGCGTGAGGGCGCGTGGGAAGTCCAAAAATTGTTTTAAAAATATGGGTGTGATCGTGAGGTTGTGTAGATCACGTTGGTATATTCATTTGTCCATTTTGAGCAATGTATGAGAAATTATTTTGAACGGACGGTTTTGTGCTTTAAAGTTAACGTTTTTATAGTTAATTCGCATATAGGTGACACGTATCCCGAGGACGAGCGTGCACATTCGAGGCAGGGGGGCTACGACCCTTCCACATACCAGTGAGTGGGCTTTTGTTTTCCGTATATACCTATATACATATTATTTCCCAGAAATTAGTATGAATGCTTCGTTTTATGCCATTCTTTTATATGATTGATGGTTATGCATGATTAGTGGCATATACGTTTAATTATATATTCGATTATGCATATGTCATATATATATTTGTTGGTGCTGTGGAGGCATAGGTAAGTGCCAGGTAAGCGTTATTTAACGATTGCATTAAATAGCGGTTAGAGATGCTTAGAGAGCTCATAACCTGCACCCCCAGTGTTAGTGCTTCCGCCCAGAGTAGGGCACAGTCCTTCACGTGTTGTTCACCTCCCGCACCACACGCTCAGCTTGAATCCAAGTTAGGTGCATAGTCCTGTCGTACAGACCACTATCGGTGGTTCCGACTCGTAGGTGACCCGCGATTATTCGCACAGCCTTCACGTGATCGTAGCACTAGAGCGTTCATATGTATTACACCCAGGCCTGTCGTACAGACCACTATAGGTGGTTCCGACTCGTGGGTAGGTTTAGTGATTTAGTTGAGATTTGAGCTCTAGATTCAGCCGTACAGGTCACTTAGGGGACTCCGGCTGCCAGTTATTATGCTATTGATGTGAGTTATACCTGAGCACATGCATGATATTATAAGGTTTTGTGATGGCATACCTGTGAGCATGATTGGCATACCCTTGAGCATGACTTGGCATATCTACGCATATGTGTTTATTTTCTGGGAAGTACACAGGTTTTACGGCGAGGGGTTAGAAGGTATTTTATGAATTGGTTTTCAAAGAATTTGTTTTTGCCCACTCACGCTTTTGTTTTGCGCCCCTCCAGGTTCTAGTAGCTTAGCGGGTTTGGTGGTTTTCCCGGAGGACGTCCCGGCATTCTGACAGACACTCACCTATGTAGGGTCACCTTCGGGTGCACTATTGTTGTATCGTTTCTTTTGGGCTGCTGTAGGCTTCAAGCTCTGAATTCAGCGTCTTACTTTCGCTAGCACATACTTCATCACATTATATTTGCTAGTTTTAAATTATTCGTACTTTTATATTACTGTTTTTAGCTTCCGCACTGTGCACATGGCTACGTCACTTCCACGTGACGGCCAGCATGCCCTGATCTCGGTTGGGGTGTGTCATGCAAACTAGTTTGATGGCTGAATCGTTGAAATTAGTTTTGTAGGATGCGTATCCCATCAAAACGATGGATTCACTAACACTTACAGTTTATTTATACTTTTCATTAAGTACAACATAAGATTTTGTGGTATCCACTAGTGTAAATATTTTAAATTGAAGATTGAATTCATTCATTGTATTCATATAGGATCAAAATTGGAGTTAAAACTACAGTTAAATCGTAAATTTTCATTTATAATCATGGGTCGTTGCGCAAACACACTTTGAGCGACACACTGCCAATGCATTACACAAAGACTGTTTGCGCGACGAACCAATGTGTCACTCAAAGGTTGTTTGCATGACGAACAAACTACGTCGCGCAAAGGGTTTTTGTGGTCCACTTGTGTAAATATTTTAAATTGATGATTGAAGTAGTTCATTGTATTCATATAGGATCAATGAGTGTAGCTGTAAAAAAATCATCAAAATAAGAGTTAAAACTACCGTTAAATCGTGATTTTTCGTTTATAACTGTCAAAAAGTTTTATCCCATTACTTGATTCTGAATGTTTGTTCGTTTCGATTTTTTGTGTATGCGATCTCGAAGTATATACGAACAAGTTTGATGATTCGATCGTTGAAACTATTTTCGTAGAATGCGCATCCCATCAAAATAATAGATTCACTAACACTTGGAGTTTATTTATACTTTCATTAAGTATAACATAAGATTATGTGATATCCACTAATGTAGATATTTTAAATTGAAGATCGAATTCAATCATTGTATTCATATAGGGTCAAGGACTATAGCTGTAAAAAAAATCATCAAAATCGGAGTTAAAACTACCGTTAAATCATGATTTTTCATATATCACCGTCAAAAAGTTTTGTCCCGTTACTTGATCTTTGAATGTTTGTTTTTTGCAATTTTTGGCTTATCCGATCTTGAAGTATATATAAATAAGTTTGGCAGTTGGATTGTTGAAACTAGTTTCGTAGAATGCGTATCTCATCAAAATAATAGATTCACTAACACTTGGAGTTTATTTATACTTTCATTAAGTATAACATAAAATTTTGTGGTATCCACTAGTGTAAATATTTTAAATTGAAGATTGAATTCATTCATTGTATTCGTATAGGGTGAAGGAGTGTAACTGTAAAAAAATCATCAAAATCGAAGTTAAAATAACCATTAAATCGTGATTTTTCATTTATAACCGTCGAAAAGTTTTGTCTCATTACTTGATCTTTGAATGTTTTTTTTTTTTTTGCGATTTTTTGCGTATACGATCTCGAAGTATATACAAACAAGTTTGAGGGTTGGATCGTTGAAACTAGTTTCGTAGAATGCATATCCCATCAAAACAATAGTTTCACTAACACTTGGAGTTTATTTATACTTTCATTAACTATAACATAAGTAGTGTAAATATTTTAAATTAAAAATCGAGTTCTTTCATTGTATTCATATAGGGTCAAGGAGTGTAGTTGTAAAAAATCATCAAAATCGGAGTTAAAACTACCGTTAAATCGTGAATTTTTGTTTATAACTGTCGAAAAGTTTTGTCCCGTTACTTGATCTCTGAACGATTGTTTTTTGTGACTTTTGGCGTATGCCATCTCGAAGTATATATAAACAAGTTTGACGATTGGATCGTTGAAACTAGTTTCATAGAATGCGTATCCCATCAAGTTCAATGGTATATATATTTATTAAGTAGCTTTAAATTTATTTATTTTGTATGTATAACATTTAAGAAATTGAATGGTATGTATATTTATTAAGTAGCTTTAAATTTATTATTGTAGTTCGGATCGAGTATTTGTTAGAAAAATATATTATTGTGGGTTTTAATTGAATTTGAAGGGAGTAAAGTCACATTTTCAATAAATTTTATAATAATTTTTTAAAAAAAATATATAACTTGCGCAACGTCAAAATAGGGTTGTTATGCAAAAACACTTTGCGCGACGCCAGGATGGGGTCGTCGGGCAAAAACACTATGCGCAACGCCAAGATGTATACATGCATCGCACAATTTGTTAAAATTTTGGCAGTGCAATTGTAAAAAATAGGCGTTTTGTTTTTTAATTTTTCCAAAATTTTCCCCAAATTTTGCCGGTCTCTCTTCCCTCTCTCTCTCTCTCTCTCTCTCTCTCTTTTTCACTCTCACTCGATCTCTCTCGTCTATTCCCTCTCGCTCATCTCGCCCAGCCAGCCTCTTTCTCATCCTTCTTTCCTCCCAACTGCACCCAGCTAGGTATTGTAATTAAATTCAATTTGAAAAATTAAATTAGAAATTGGGGATTTTAGTGTTAAATTGAAATTTTGAGATTTTCACTTGGACTAACAGCTCAAACTAGTACTCAAACTAGAAACATTGGACAAAGTAATACCACAGGCTCGTAACATGCTAATCTCTTATATCACTTGTAGTCTTGTTTATAGTTCTCAACTTGAGTTTGATTATTCACATGATAACTCTGTAGATCCTGATTCTTTGAGCACTAGCATTAGCAGTGATATAGAAACTCTTCCAAGCCTTGCATCTATACTTGAAGAGCTAGTACAGAAAGATGGGTAAGGTTTTTGCATTTTTGGTTTATGAAGAGCTATTTCTGAATATTTTAATGGCATTGATTGAGAGACAATATTTATCTCAACATAAACTGCTGATAGTTACCAAAAACTAGATTTTGTCAGAACTTCTACAAAGTGTGAATAAAGAAATAAATGATTAACTACTGAACTCCATTCACGAACTCATACATGGAATTGAGGCCACAAGGATGATTTTTTTTGGCAACAAACTAGTCTTGCCTCTTTTGCTTCTCATTAGATAAAAGTTAATTCATTATAATTTTCAAATAATTTATTTCAAAATTGTACTTTTAAGCATGAAGTTCTACCAAGCATTGGTTGTGAGTAAATTATACGTTTTCAAAGGCTGAGTGGTAAACTATTGTGGTTCAGATTATTAGTCTGTTAGGATGGTCTTGTTAGCTAGTTATGTTTTTCCTCTTAATTCTATTTTCCACTTTAGGTTTGCTCTTTTCGGACTTTGCAGATAAGCTGTTTGAGCCTCGACCGCCGTTGGATTTCAAACCATATCCAAAGAAGAAAAAGTGCCCACCTTTGACAGGTCTATTAACCATGAAAATAAGTGGTTAGCATTGGACAAAGATCAATATTTGATTTATTCAGTACTAGAACACAACTGCTAAGTTGAAGCTACATTTGTATACTCTGCATACAAAGATTAATATTTGATTTATGCAGTAGTAGTACACGACTCTTAAATTGAAGTTGCAGTTGTATACTCTATATACTTTTTATTTTATTTATTTTTTTTGAAGTTTTAACTTTCAGAGAATTTTTATGCACTTGTATGTGAAAAGCAGAGGCAAATCAGAAAAGGATAGTTGAAGCTGATGGTCTTAGTTCCTTGCTGATGCTTCTTAGAAGCCTTGAGGACAAAACCGTTCGAAGAGTGGCAGCTGATGCCATTGCGAATCTTGCAATGAATGGTGAGTGCTCAATGATCTATTCTTCTTTCTTAGAGTGCAAGGGCTTTTTCTGTATTTTGAATGTTAATACTTTTGGGTTGAGAAGTATCTATTTGACTTTCAAAATATTGGTTTTTTACGTTGCTTCCTCTCTGGATTTGCAGAAGCCAATCAAGAAATTATAATGCAAGAAGGTGGGATTAGTTTGTTAGCAATGACTACCGATGATGCTCAAACCTTACTCATGGTTGCTGGAGCTATTGCTAATTTATGCGGCAATGGTATACTGCATTGTCTTATTAGTGCATAATAAAAGTCCTTTTAAAATCTTTGAAGAAGACTCTTCTTTTCTATTTAGTTCCCAGGTTTATTATATACAATTCAAACTTTTTTACACTAGTCCCTGGAAACATGTCCATTTTCCAATTCTATGCTTCAGAGGAAGGGTTTTCTGTTGTTTGTTCTTCATTGTGTCTATGTTTGCTCTGCATTTTTTCCCTAAATTTGAGTATTTAAATCCTGCTTTGTTATTATTTTGTTAATATCCTCAGATAAGCTACAAATGAAGCTAAGGTCTGAAGGTGGTATTAAGGCGTTGCTAGGAATTGTGAGGTGCGGGCATCCTGATGTTCTTTCCCAAGTGGCACGTGGAATTGCTAACTTTGCAAAATGTGAATCACGAGCATGTACTCAAGGTAAGAGCCTTTGTCAAAAATATTCCATGAATAGTTCCCTCGGCGATAGTTCCCTCAGTATTATGGTGGAATGTTCAATTTAAGATTTTTACGTTTTTTGGTGTAATGTCAATATGCTGACCTACTATAGGGATAAACAATGGAAGATCTTGCTTGATAGAAAATGGTGCACTTCCATGGATTGTACAAAATGCTAATGACGAGGCTGCACCAATCAGGCGCCACATTAAGCTTGCACTCTGTCACTGAGCACAACATGGTAGGTGAATTTGTCTGGTCCTAGATAACATTTTTATGTCTTAAGACTTTCTACTTATATACATTTGGTATTTATATCACAGAGGTGAATGCGAAGGACATGATCAGTGGAGGTGCCCTCTGGGAGCTAGTTAGAATTTCCCAAGACTGTTCACGAGAGGACATAAGGAGTCTTGTTCATCGGACTTTGAATTCAAGCCTCACTTTCCGTGCTGAAATGCGATGGTTACAGACAAACTACTGATTAGCAAGCAGTGTGATGGGTTGCTCTGAATATATTTTATTGCCTCTCCAGTCAATGAGAGAGGCGCACACAAATTTGTGATGCTTCTGTATAGGCTTGGTTAAGAATTAAGTCCGGGAGGCCGAAGCAGCAACCCGAGAAGCCCAGATTGTAGCCCAGTTATCAACGCAGGACTATAAGATGAGTATGATCTTACGGGCCTTACAGATGTCCGACCTTCAAATCTCGATGCCAACACTTAGGGATGGGCAAAATACCCATGGGTTTGGGTAATCGCGGTTACCTATCCAATTAAAGTTCACAGTTACAGTTATGGGTATAACCATATTACCCTCGGTTATAACGGGTATTCATCTGTTATGGGTATTACCCGCGGTTATAACGGGTATCCAATTACCCATTTAATTTAATATATGTAAAATTTAAAAAAAAAAATTTAAAACCGTAAATGAAAAGTCAAATTAGAATTAACGTCAATTTTTTGCTGCCATGAAGTTGGAATTGAAAGAACCTGAGATGAATTTTTGTTGGTTTTGATTATTTGGAGGAGAATATGTCGATGGAAAGAAGTGCTTGTGGAATATTTGAAAAATATGGAAGATTGTGAACCAATTGATATTCTGTACTTTTGGAATCTGGTTATGTTCAAGTTAAGAAAGAAGCTTTTAGTTCCTTTACACTATGTTTGGATGCAGAAATTTAAGATTAGTAAGAAATTTCAAAATAATGAAAATTGAAATGATGAGATTTTATTTTCTATAATTTGTAAATTTTCTTGTTTGGTTAACCTAAAAGAATAATGGAATTGAATATGAAATTTGTTATTTTTAAACTCTAAATCATAGAAATTGGGAAATGACACATATTTACATCGAATTTGAACTTGGGAATTGGAGGTCCCAAATTCCAAGCTTTTTTCCAGGCAGAAATTCTAAATTTCTATGTTTATGAATTCAAACAAGGGAATTGGTGCATGTCGATTTATAAATTCTAACTTTTACTAAAATTCCAAGTTTATTTCCCTCATCCAAACATAGTGTTAACTTTACCATAAAGTTACAATTGACAAAGTTAATTAACGTTATTTTGCTGCTTTGAATCATCTAGTATTCAAGATAACGACTACTTTTTGTTTTTAGAAGCTTTACTTTGTAATCATATGGATTATAATTAAAGATTTGCTTGGGTGTAGCAAAAAAATATCGTTCGTAAACTATTATTTCAATTATTGGAGGACTTAAATGATTACAATAGGGAAATGCATGCTAAAATGTACCTATAACAGTGTTTAATTGTCAGAAAACGGAAATTATGAAAAAAATTTCTTTTGTAATTTTCAAGTTGTTTAAAAAAAAAAAAAAAAAAACACATGTAGACAGATGAAAAACAGGGTAAGGGTAAAAAATTGATGAACAGGTTCAAAAATGGGTAAATGGTTATGGTTAAATGGGCACACGGATATGGGTATAGTTAACCATTTATAAACGATGATGGGTATGGGTATAACCGTTTATGCAATTACCGAACGGGTAAACGATTATGCGGGTATGAACATAAACGGTTATGGGTAAATAACTGCGGTTACCCGCCCATCATAACCATTGCCCATCCCTACTGGCACCTGATGTTGCTCCACCTTCGACCTCCCAGCCACTTCGCCTAGCCGATACCCAATAGCCTGATGCATCAAGTCTAGAAGACTACTTGTTGTAGTTTTTTTCTTTTATGTTCGTACATTTTGTATGTACATTTTCATGTATTTTATAATTAAATAATTTTTCTTGGTTTGTTAATTATTGTTTAGAATTTAATTACAATATTTATTAAAAATTAAATAAAAATTATTTTTGCCAAAAAAAAACAAGGGTTTGCACGACGAAGGCGTAACCTACGTCGCACAAACCCTGCTTTCACTTGGCACGACGGTTGGTGCACAACAAAGGTTTCGTTGGACTAATTTTCAAGCAATGTTTTTTGACTTTGCGCGACGAAGGTACCTGCGTCGCGCAAACTGTTTGTTGTACTAGTGCTAGCATTATCCATATCTTAAATTATTTTTCATCAAATTTTCTTCATTAAAAAAGCACTTAATTGTTTGGTAATTTTTCGAAAAATAATACAATTATGTAAGTTATTTTTATAGAAATAGTGTCACTGTTTCTAGAACTAGTGACCACTGCATCTAATAATTTATTACTTCTAAGAAACAATATTTCTTATTAATAAAATTTCATTACGTGTTTTTTCATTAAAATTTTATTGATAATAATTTTGTTGAACATTGGCATGTGATAAATAATTCATATTATTATGTCTTACAAATATGACTAATATTTTAAATTTATACATAACAAATAAAAAGGGTGGAAAGGAAAGAATGACGTGTGAGAGAGGAGAAAGAGATAAAGGGATGTGTGAAGAGAGAGGCGGCGGACAAGTGGGGGAGGATGGGAGAGAGAGAGAGAGAAAAGGGTGGCACGCACAGTCAGTCTGTTTTAGGTCTTTTTTTCCCTAATATTTTAATTTTTGTCATTTTCATTAACATTCACGATTTTTTTTTATAAAATAAAGTTATTAGGCTTTTTGCTTAAAAATATTGTTTGGAAAGCCCTTCTCAATAAAACTCCTCTAGAACAAACAGGGGTTTTAATGAAGACGGCTTAACACAACAAAAAATTAATAAAAAAGCATAATAGACTTTTCTTTAATAATAATAAGAAAAAGAAAAAAACAAAGGAGACGGTGGCATTTTTATAAAGGTTTTTAGATTTTAGGACTTGAATAAGATGACTTTTAGGGTGTGTTTGTTGCACCAGATTAACTTGGATTGGACTAACATCAGGAACTAAGCTGGACAGGCTTAGACTAGACTAAACTGTACTAACTTAATGAAGCGTTTGATGCAGTATTTGACTAAGAAGTTGAATAATGAAAAAAAAAAAAAAAAACCCATGATATATAACAAATTATTTGTTGTAAACATTCCTAGTTTAAGTGTGATTGTGTAAATCCTAAATTAGATTTGATTCTAGTTATCCTTTCCTATTGTATCTTGTATTCCTTGCGGATGAAAGAATATCTTTTCTCCTTTTACTACTATAAATAAAGGCACAATGTAGGAGGGATAACAACACACATTCCCTTACAACTCTACAAATACATCTCTCTCTCTCTCTTCTCCTTGGCGTCGGCCCTCTTTAACCTTGTCAAATAAAATAGACCACAACACGTTATCAACACGTTCCTTCCACTACGCTTAGGAATCTAACATTGAAGAATTTTTCTGCATCAAACCAGTTATCCATATCATCACGCAGTCAATTCTTTCAAAACAACGGTTTTTATCTCGATATGTCTGCAGCCCTAATAGCATGAACATTCACCATAATGCATGACCCACCTTTACATTTTACGAATTTTAGATTCTACATAAATTGTGTATGCATCATAATCAAAGTTGTCGAATTATGTGAATTTGATATTTGCAAGAATTACATCAAATATATATGAACATGCATTAAACTATTGAATTGCATAGGCATCAAATTGAATATGTTTTTAATTAATTTATATATGAATTGAATTGGAAAAAAAAATTGAAAAAAAAGGAAACCACGGCCTGGGTTCTTCGAACCCATGATCTCGAGCCAGTCGACCAAGCCTGCAGCTTGGGTGGCCGAGCCATGCCAAGTTGAAGGTTGGCCTGCAGCCAATCCCCCACCCACGGGTCATCATATTTTGACGGCCTGAAGCTTGTCTCAAAATCAATTGACCAAGATTCGATTGAATCTCGTCAGTTTTTTTTTTTTTCAAAAAATCCCATTTGTTTTCTAGGGTTTTGATATCACATCGAGATTTCTCAAATCTCCGTTCCTATTTGGGCCCCCACTTGGACCCTCGTGCTTCGCCGTGCCATAAAACCCCCGAGGACAGTCGCCTGAAGCGACGCCAGTGTCCTCCCGGTCGTATTCCGACACCCAGCATCACTGGCGTGTCTCGAACCTCCACGACCCAAGCCCAATTGGGTCTCGACCACTCACGCTGCATCAACGCTCGTTGGGTTTGCTGCTACTGTGTGATGTCCCGGGCCGTGTGAAAATTAAAAAAAAAAAAAAAAAAAAAAAAAAAAAAAAAAAAAAAAAAAAAAAGGAAAATCCTTGGGCCCGTTTGTAGTGGGCCGTGTTTTTTTAGCGGACTCTGTTTTTTTTTTTCCAAGGCCTGCCTTCTACAGCTTTCACCCCACCGCCACACACCCCCCCCCCCCGGGGGCGTTTTCTCCTCTCCCCGTGGGCCTAGGTCACACAGTACCATGTTATTAAGCCATCCCGTGGGCTTATATTTTTTTTTCTATTAGGCCCCGAGTTTTATTCGCCTAATTATTTTAGGCCCAGTGGGTTTTATATTTTTCACCCACACTTTAATTTGGCTCAAAGTCCAAATAATTAAACTTCAATTATAATTATAAACCTAAAAATCCTATTTTTTCATATTCATGTTGCATTTTTTTTGTGTATATATTTGTGTTTGTTTGTAGGAATATATGAACCTGAAGTTCATAATTATTTTGAAACCTGAAGTTTCTTATAAACATGCCTTGTTTGAAAACCTGAAGTTTTTCATTTAAAAACAACACCTATGAAAACCCGAAGTTTTTCATGCAAAATTAAACCAATACATGTCTATTAGAACCTGTATGTTCTACTCCTATGTGAATGGATTGATTTTTCTCCATTACACTAACCGCATCTTGTCCATCTATTTTGTGATAGGAACATGTCGAATTTGAACAAACTCGACTTCACCGCTTTGGAGGTCTTTGGAAGGAACTACCTCAAGTGGGTCCAAGATGTAAAGTTCCACCTCACTGCAAAGAACTTGCGCCCTGCTATTGAAGAAGAAACGGACAACTCTATTGGGGAAGTTGAAAAAGCCATTGATATGATCTTCATCCGAAGACATATCCATAACGCTTTGCAAACTGAATATCTTGCTGAGGAGGATCCACATACACAATGGGTTGCTTTGGCCGATCGTTTTAATCACCAAAAAGACAGATTCTTGCCTAAAGCAAGACACGACTAGCAGCATTTGGGCTTCCAAGATTTTAAGTCTGTGAATGAATATAATTATGACGTTTGTCGAATCCGATCACTTCTCAAGTTTTGCAACGAAACTTTGACTGAAGAGGATCTCCTGGAGAATACCTATTCGACCTTATCTGCTTATAATATTGTCCTACAGCAACAATATAGAGCTTAGAAGTTCACTAAGTTATCAA